ACAAGCAACTATGGTCTTGGCAAATTACGTAGACAGACTCATGAGCAACAAGTGGAAAGGACTGGAATTTTACTAAAGTTTAAACAGCAGCCTTGCTCCCCACCACTGCCAGACCCAGTAAATCCAAAACAGGTTTTCTCTTCTGCTTTTACCGGGTTTATGAGACACAGCAGGTTTGCACTTCAGATGTTCATTTATAGAGTGCTAGACTACACCTGCTTCACGCTAGGCTTGTGCTTTGGGCGTTCTTTCCTTTGGAAAATATTATTTTTAAAGAATATCATCTTAAGGCATCTTGCCTTCTAAAGTGTGCTACTTGTTAAGGATCAAAACTTCTGAAGCAGCCTACTTGCTGTCCATCCAAATATGATTTTAACCCTCTCTCCTACCTCATCTCTGCCTTGTACAGGAGATGCCAATCATTTCTTCCCCACTCCCACATCTCCTTCCAGGAAACTGCAGTCCCTGTTTCCAGCGAGCCTGTTCCCCCACTCTACCCCTGAGTGAGTGTTTAAATCCGTGACACTGTGGAAAATAAACAACAACACCTCATTGATTGACTTTGGAAGATTATTTTGAAAACCAATAAATAAAGTGGGAAAAGTTAAGCATTTATCCTTCCTTTTCTATATGAACTGTACCTTAGGCTAATCATATAGTTGATGAGGGGGAGTTTTTCTTCATAGAAGCTGATAAATGAAGAAGGAAAGGTGAAATCATAGCATGATCTTTTTGCAAGGCCTAATGAATTAATGGATCTAGGAGGCAACCATCAATGGCTGTTATGTCACAAAAAGAGAAAAAAGAAGACATTCTGTGTCTCTGAATGGAAGTCATGACACTGCCTATAGTCTTGCAAAAAAAAAGTTCCACCTGAATCTGATTAAAGTCTATAGACTAAAATTTACAGGAAATATAGAGGACAGAGGAACATGTTAAATGAAAACGAAGGGATACAATCACCATAATCCAGACTGTGGGAAACTTTCTAAGACAAATGATCTAGTTTTTCCAACAAATTGCACAGAAAACATAAGACACAGGGGGAAACCTATAGATTAAATGAGACTGAAGAGTCATATTAACCAATCATAATGTGTGGACCTTGTTTGGCTCCTGATTCAACAAACCTTTAAAAATTACAGGAAAAAAAAGGAAATGTGAACAATTCCTGGATATTTGATAATATGAAGAAAATATTGTTGATTTAGTAGTGATGATAGTTTTGTGGTTACATCTTTTAAAAGGAATCCTTATTCTTAGAGCTATGTATTGAAACATTTACAGGTGAATGAAATGACGTCGGAGATTTCTTTCAAAATAATCATGAGAGGTGGGGAAAGGGCAGGATACAGAGAAGGCTGTCCCTGAGCTGTTAACTGTTGAAGTGGGTGATGACTAACTAGAATTTCACTGTACAGTTCCCTACAACTCTCTATATTTGAAATTTTCCTTCCTAAAAAGTCAAATTAAAACACTTTCTATTTTTTATATATATTTTATATTAGCCATAATATATTAGTATAGGAGTTGATGTTTATTTTTTAATAAATATAGATTTATCAAGTTTTACTTGTTCTTCACTGCTAAGCGTACCCCAAAATTTTGGAGCTTTTTATTTTTCACACTTGCCTGCCCAGCTGGACTGGAAGGTCCATGGAAGCAGAGACCTTCCTAGTATATTCTCCACAGAGCTAATACCTTGTGGAGCGTGTAAAGTGCCCACCCTGGGAATACAGCTCGTTAAAGCACCATTCCAGAAGGGAGTATTGCTCACCTGGTCTCCTATTTGTGGACACCTCCATCCCGACTTCATTGTTAGTGGAGGATGGACAGTCCACACGACCATTCCTACCAGTGGGAGGAGTTGGTTAGCTTGAGGCTTTGTAGAGAGAACAGAAACGATTGAAACTGACTAAATCTGTGTTATGGAATGGAGACCGTTATAAATTTACTATGCAGTTAATACTACAAATACTACAGGAGAGTTCTGGCTTTTACATGTAGACCCTCTTTACGAAAGTATAAGGTAAAGTGAAACCACTGGCAAGGTGTGGCTACAAAATGTCTGGCCAAATTCTCTTTGCTGTTGTCCCTGCCTCTTGGTTCCATGTTGTTGTTGTTATTGTTTTTGCCTCAGAAACATCTGGTGTGAAAACGGTGGTCCCCTGTATTAAAGCCCTTATGATTTTAGAAAGCTCTCCATCTCTCTTATTTCCGGTTGCTCGAAGTTCAGACTTTCCCAGGATTTCCTCAGTTTCCTTTAACTTGAGCTCTCACTTTTCTTTTTCTTTTTAAATTTATTTATTTATTTATTTATATTTTTGGCTGCGTTGGGTCTTCATTGCTGCACGCGGGCTTTCTCTAGTTGTGGCGAGCAGGGGCTACTCTTCATTGCGGTGCGTGGGCTTCTCTTCTTGCAGAGCACGGGTTCTAGAGCACAGGCTCAGCAGTTGTGGCACACAGGCTTAGTTGCTGCACAGCATGTGGGATCTTCCCGGACCAGGGCTCAAACCCGTGTCCCCTGCATTGGCAGGCAGATTCTTAACCACTGCGCCACCAGGGAAGCCTCTCACTTTTCTTAATTACACAGAAGTTAGAGACACTTCTCCACTTTGTAAATTTACCATCACTGCTTACTCCAGGAGCACCTTTTACTTCTGCGTGATGTAACAGTTCTATCCCTTTGTCCCTCCTGAGCTTCAGGATTGGGAGAGGGTATTCATCCTGGGTTGATGTCTTGTAGGAAAAGCAGTTTGCAATTAGAATATAACTTACAAAAGGACCGCCCCTTGGAGTAACCTCCCTTGTAACTTGTTCAAAATCACCCAGAACATGGGTCTGTCTCCTTGTCTTTGTACATTCTGCCTGATTGTTACTGTCTCCCAGAAGACTTCTAGGTGGTACCACAGCATCCATTTATAGAAAAGTATACTCTATATACCTAGTCTGGATTTTAAGAAGAAATCTTACACTCGGCCATCCAAATGCTTTCAACAGACCGTGCAATTTAAATTTATAAAACAGTAACTATGTCCATAAAAGCCAACACTACATGCCAGGCACTATTCTAGGTGTTCTACATGTATTAACTCATTTAGTTAGTTCTATTATTATTCCCATTTTATAGGTGGACAAACTGAGGACAGAGGGCTAGTGAGTGGGAGCCAGGCTCTGACTATTTTTGGGACAGCAGTCTTGAAGCAGATCTTATTTCCCTGCCCAGGGATTGAACCTAGCGGCTAGTCCACCAGGGGCTAGAGGCCAGAAGCAAAGTTCCCTGGTTCTTACCTCCTTTGAAAGCAAAAATGTTTCAAGGAGGCAAAAACTGCAAAACAGATACAAAGTTTATTATAAGAGGCACAGCACAACGGTATGGGAGAGCACAGAGAGAAACAGTTTATTTATTTTTTTGTTGTTTTGTTTTGTTTTGCGGTACGCGGGCCTCTCACTGTTGTGGCCTCTCCCGTTGCGGAGCACAGGCTCCGGATGCGCAGGCTCAGTGGCCATGGCTCACGGGCCCAGCCACTCCGCGGCATCCTCCCGGTCCGGGGCACGAACCCGTGTCCCCTGCATCGGCAGGCGGACTCTCAACCACTGCGCCTCCAGGGAAGCCCAGAAACAGTTTATTTATCGAAGTCAGAAGCAAGGCAGAAATACACACCCAGAGAGGAGTGCAGGCGTCCTGAATGAGGAGGCAGTAAAGAGGGGATTGAAATCGCTTATATATGGCAGTCTTTCTGGTCTTTGTTTACATTTGTCCAATTATCTTGTTTCTTTTCTCACACCTGACTGGCCCTGGGACCCTCCCCAACTTTTTGCACAACTTTTTGCTAGGATGGATCCCACCGCAGAGGCCTGTGGGGGTATGTCCACACTTATTATGGGGTGGCGCCCCCTCCCTTTTTGACCCCCAAGGAGCCTTCCTGTGCATGTGCAGACAGGGAAGTTTTCCTTGACCTCAGGAGTGGTCATCTTATCTCTTTACTTCAGCAGAGCTCAGCGTCTGACACTAGCTTTGTCCTTGAAGCGTCTGGGTGAGAACAAAGCTTCCATTTTACTCCACTTGACAGACACCAGCTGTCCAGCCCAGGGGCCCATCTATCTCCTCACTCATGACCACAGGCAGGCTGGCTCTAGGGTGTGCTGCCTGTCTCCTGGAGAGACCCAATTGGGAAGAAGCGAGGAGCACCTGGAAGAGTGGAGAGACAGAACTACCAGAGGAGAGGGAAATCTCAGGAGAAAGAAATTTCTGGGAAAATGAGATTTTTTTTAAAAAAAATTTATTTATTTTTATTTATTTATTATTTTTGGCTGTGTTGGGTCTTCATAGCTGTGCGCGGCTTTCTCTAGTTGCCGCGAGCGGGGGCTACTCTTCGTTGCAGTACGTGGGCTTCTCATTGCGGTGGCTTCTCTCGTTGCGGAGCACGGGCTCTAGAGCGCGCGGGCTTCGGTAGATGCAGCGCGTGGGCTCAGTAGTTGTGGCTCGCAGGCTCTAGAGTGCAGGCTCAGTAGTTGTGGCTCATGGGCTTCGTTGCTCCGCGGCATGTGGGATCTTCCCGGACTAGGGCTCGAACCCGTGCCCCCTGCATTGGCAGGTGGATTCTTAACCACTGCGCCACCAGGGAAGCCCGGAAAACGAGATTTTTGAGACAAACCTGATTTTTGAGATTCCTAAAGCTGAAGTGTAAAGTTACCCTGGTTTTTCCTTGTCTATTTAGTAGAAAGAGCTGTGGTCCAACCTGGCTCTCTGCCATCTCTGTGTGACACAGAAAAGTCACTTTATCACTCTGGGCCTGTTTTTTCATCTCTAAAAAAGAGTAAAATTATGCCTATTGCTATCCGCCGTAGGTAATGGTAGGAATCTGTTCACTATTACTTTGAAGGAAAGTCCATATGGAAGAATGTTCTAAGGGCTTCCATTTTTAGATGAGCCTAGGAGGACTTTGGTTTGACATCTGAGTGTAATCAATTCCTACTATTCAATTATTTGTTTTCAGGGCACCACATTTGTATGCCTTATAGAACCCACACTTGGACATGCTGACATCAGGCTTCAAGACAGCTGAGCCCCACTAGACACCCAAAAAACCCATGGCTCTGGTTGCATCTTTCAACATGACCAGTCCGCAGTAAGTAGCATTGGGATCGGCTCTCTGTGGATACTGAGTTGGCACATCAGGATTGGGGGTACAGCCAATAGCTCCTTCCCCAGCCCTGTAGAGATGGAGGGGCTCCAGGTGGTTTTGTCCTTGAGCCTGACATTAAAATAATGTGTTAAAATCTACTTTTTCTCAGAGTTACCTTATTCATGTCATCTCATCTTTTAGTTCAAATAGGCAGAGGAATTCTGCAATCCAAAACTGGGATTGTAATCCCATTGCTAATCCAGTGGGATTGCTAATATCAGATTGGCCGAAACAAGTCTCATGACTGAACACAGCATCAAGGGTGGAGAAATATACTCTTCCCTTTGATGGGAAGCTCCAAAGTCACGTGGCAAAGTGAGGGGTGCAGAGCAGAGCCACTGATATGTGTTGTCCACCATACTGTTCTTCATATTCAAGACCAGGGAGTAGTCCCAGTACTCAGGCTATAACTGTGAGACCTTCACTCCCCCTAAAGGAGGCCTTGTCTCCTCCCGCTGAGATGATCCATGGCCAGAGATGGTGCTGGGCCACCATGACCATTGGCAAGAGGGGAACAGAGGGCAGGAAGGCAGGAGTAGCTTATCCCATGCTTCTCAGAGCCACATCCTGTTAGTTTCAGAAACTCACCCCAGCCCTCCATGAACATCTCATTGATCAGAAAGCTCTACTTGTTCAGTTTGGCAGTCCACAGTTTCCAAAAGAACAAATTCGACCTAGCATCTACTTTTTGGGAAACATCTGGAAGAGCCAGGATTCCCCCCATGAACACCCACACTTTCATTTCAATTGTTGAGAAACACAGAAGCTTCACATCCTGTGACTGTTCTGTCTGAAGATCTTGAGTCATTTTGTAAATGCCACACCATGATGAGTACTATTATCTGTGCTTGACAGGTAGCAAAGAGCTAAGGTTTAAATAAAGCCTACAAAAGAGAAGTGGGGCATTGGAAATTACTTGGTGAATTCAGGTAGTTTAGGCAGCCAATCTGTGGTGTTCAAGGAAAAATCCCACTTTTTTCTCAATTATCTGGGATGATTCAAGCAAAAGAGAAGTAGGCAGATTCAGTTCCAAACTTTCTGGATAACTGCCACTGTGTATTATTGGTTAGCTTTCAATGGTGGTTGGAAAAATTTAGAATGTAGTACTGTCCAGCCAAGTGTAGGAACTTATCACTCCAGAGCCCCTCCCACCTGCTCCATATTTCTCACATCCATGTCAGATCACAGAGAAAGAATAGAGCCTCTATTCCACCTCTTCATGCTTCAGCTGGAGAAACTGAGGCCCCAGAGGAGGTCCGCAGAAGTCAGCATTGGAATCGGCACCAGAGCCCCTGAACAGTTTATCGCAGACTGGGCTGCATTACAACTGGGCTCTCAGTGTTCCCTCAAATGTTTAATTTTTACTCCTCTCCACTGTTTGTCCAGAGGCACAAGACCCAGCCCCTCAGATTCTACAGATGAAATAGGGTCAAGGATGTGTTGGGGGAACCAAAGATGGCAGCCCAGGAAGTTAAAGGAAAATGATCCAGCCCACCATCTCCTCACGGTGTAGCTGTTGGTGTTTGGGAAGAAGAGTTCTTAGTTACTGAACACACTGCAGGATGTGTAATGTCCCCTTTCTTAGTTATGTCATTAGTGACCTCCTTTGGTAATGTGACAGCCACAAATGCCTCCACCAATTGTCAAATACCCCTGGTGGGTTGGGAGGTAGTCCTGCCTCTGGTTGAGATGCCCTGTAATGCCAATGGAGTTGTGGGTTACTTGCAGTGCCCTAGGTGAGCCTGATGGTAACCTAGTAGGAGACCCAAAACCCCTCAGACATTTGTTCAAGTGACCCCCATTTCCTACTGTCAACCTTATAAAGGGAGCTGTAGTCGGACCAGTTTAAGTAGGAAGGGAGTGGCACCCAGAACAGCTGGCCCCTCCTGTCCTCACTGCCCCAAGGCTCACTTGGTCCCTACAGGCCTCCAGGTCAGCTCCCCAAGCACCAGCAGTACATCCAGTTGTGAACAAACACCTCTCTTCTCTATTGTGGTACAGATGGTAGAAACATTCCCGAGGACCTTTACAAAGAAACACGGAAGACAATTTAAAAGAATGTATTACTCCAACATAAAGTCTAGTTATTGAGAAGCCTAAAAGTATAAGTCCTGGCTTTGCTGGTTGGCAGAGTTTCCATCTGGGTCTTTACCTCCCTTTGATGAAGGACTCTGCCCCCCAAACCTCATATTTTAAGATCTGAGCATGCTTCCACTTTTCCCCAGCTCGTGAGGGAGATGCAGCTGGTAGGGCCTCAGTCCAGTCCCTGGGTTGGCCAGCGGGGAAGAATGGTGACCTCACACTTCCCCTGCCCTCCTCCAGCACAGATTCTGGTGCATTCTCCCTCTTTGCCTTGGGGAATGGAAAAATCATTTTGTTCTTGAGGGATGACTCTGCCCTGTTGCCATCCCCAACTCAGGCCTGCCACAGAAGGAGGAACTTCCGAAGTTGAGATCATCTCCCAACAAGTAGACGAAGAAACCAAGAGCATTGCTCCCGTGCAGCTGGTGAACTTTGCCTATCGGGACTTGCCCCTGGCTGCGGTTGACCTCTCCACGGTGGGCTCGCAGCTCCTGTCAAATCTGGATGAAGATTACCAAAGAGAAGGGTAGGTGTTGGTACCATTGAGTAGCTAAGACGTCTCTTGCATAACTCCCTGGGTTTCCATGGGTACCTACAGCAAGGCAGCCCAGAGGTGAGAGGTGCTGAATAGTAAGAGACCAGAAGTTCACATCAGGCCACCCCGGCTCTTCTCCTCAGATATTGTTTCCTCAGAAAAAGGCTGTGGGCACAGAAAGTATCTGTCGCTGCTAGACAACCTATTAAGCGACATTTGCTTGGAACTCGGGGAATTATAAAATTAAAGGCTGTCACACTGCATAATAGCCCATCCAATACTCAATCTGGACACCTGGGAATCAAGAGACCAACAGGATTTAGTGTGACTCACCCAAGGTCTCAGTGCCTATAAAGAATGGATTTAGAATATACTTTCTTTTTATCAAGTCTTCTTTCACCAGGGACGAGATGGGGAAGAAAGCATGTGTGCAGTAACATGCTAAGGGTGGGAGGGAATTTAGCACCATTCAGCCAGGAGCTTTGCAGACCTTAAAAAGGTCTGCTGCTTTTTCCAGTGAGAACAAATAGCATATGCTGGCCCCTGATTCAAAGGAGCGGCCCCTACCTACTCCTACTTAACTGGTCAATCAGATTGGATGCCTTTGTTCAATCTGGACAGGGGAGACACAGCAGTGACACCCTCCATTCACGTGGGGGAAGCTGAAGGCTGGACAAAGGCAAGAACAGGTCCTGGGGTCACAGGGCAGGTCAGACTTTCCCCAGCCCCACCCTGTTGCTCTTAGATATAGACTTTTAAACATTGGCCAGGAGCTTGGGAGCCAGTTCTGGGCTACTCTCCTTCCTCAGATGCCACCGTTAAATATTTTGGAACATGCTGACAGCTTTGAATATAAAAACGAAGGGTTGCCAGGTTATTTTAGAAGCAAATGAGAAGCCTTAGCTACAATTAAATTTTCAGAGCTTGGATTCCCTGTAAGTGTTTTTGAAGGGCCTCCCCGCCTTCCTAAGTTAAATTGCCTAACAATTGTGAAACCATACACCTTTTGCAAAAGCTTCACTCCAGTGGCTTTCTCTGAAAATATAATTTTTTCCAAGTACTGTGCTTAGAGTCAGCAAGGCATTGGAAACAAGGGTAGGCAAACGGGTTGGAAATAGTTCAGGGTGGCCTGGCAGAGGGTGGCAGCATTCTGAGCGTGGGCAGCACCATCCGACCAGCTTCTCCAGGTCTCCAGGTCTTTGGCTCCGCCAGAGATGTTGGCGGTCAAGCCTTCCTTGAGCACCTGGCTACTGTGCCACTGCCCTCTGGAGGTCAAAATTGGTAGTGCAGCCTGGTATCCTGCCCCAGCCATTCTCATGGACTCATTTCCCGCCCCACCAGCGCCACCTTTAGGCTCTTTTCAAGTTTATAGTCGGAAGGCAAGGAAAGAAGCGGGAAGACCTTGGAGGATCTAGTTCCAGACCCTATCCACACCTGCACCCTGTAGGCATACGCACCACAGGTGGTCCAGACTTTGGGGGCACCACTCCTTAGCCTGAACTGGAGAAGGCAGAGTCTCTGCTTTGTCATTCCATTTGCTTCTGAATCAGGCCCTTGCAAGATTTCTTCTGAGCAGGGAGAATACAAATGGGATGCCTGCAAGGCAGAGAGGCTCTTGATTTGGTTTGAGTCTCCAGGTGTGCCCTGGAAAGCTGCTCCTGTTGGGTAAATAGGAAGCAGCCGGATGAGGAGATTTGCTTCGCTGCTGGAGTTCTCGGCAGCGGGCTCCATTGGCAGCTAGAGGGCTTCCTGGAGGAAGGAAGAGCAGGCACAGGACACAAGCCAGGTGACAAGGAAGCAGAACAAAAGCACACTGTGAAGGGGGGAAAAAGCCTCTCTTCACAAGCTTCTTGGCTTTTGCTGCATTTCCTGGGGTTTTCCCCAAATATCCAACCTGGCCCTTTCTGAAATGATGCAAAACAACACGATTTACAGTTCTGGTAGGTCTTCGAAAAGCTTTGGTGTAAGTCTTGTCAAATACACCTCTTCCTAGTAAGGGAAGTGTTATATATAGGAATGAATCTTTTCTGTAGGAAATGAAGGGACCTCAGGGACCCCAGCAAGATAGTGCCCAGCCACCCCACCATTTACTTCTTTTGAGCTCAGTGGTATTTCAGTGCTTTTAAGTTTCCCAGAATCTGAGAATTTTAGAGCTGGAAAAATCCTTAGAAAGTATATATTCTAAATATTCTAATAGGATAGCAGAGTCCAGAGAGTGGAAGGAACTTGCCCAAGGTCACACAGTGACAGAGACAAAAATAGAGCTCTGGCTCCTGATCCAGGCTGGTACTACTGGGCTTCCATTTGTCACCTGTCCCTTTACAACATCACAGTTGTGACTATGGTTAGCATGCATTGTACATGATACCGCTGTTAGGCTATACCGTCAAAGGCCCTTAACTTTTTGGCGTGCAGTCACTGAGATGTAGGTAAACCCCTAGGCACAGGTGGAAGAGTTTCATCTGTCTCAAGCTCCTTGACTTTCCTAACAGTGCTTTGTCCTTCTCGTGGACCTGCCTAGCAGATCTTAAACTGCAGAGCTATCTGTTGTCTACCCTCTTTGCTTCTACACACAGACTGCTGAGGGCTCAGGTAGGAAAGTCAGACAACTGTGCAGATTGGTGCTGTCTTAGTCTGGTGGGGCTGCCATAGCAAAGGACCACAGACTGGGTGGCTTAAACAACAGGTATTTATTTTCTCACAGTTCTGGAAGTGTGAAGTCCAAGATTGAAGTGCCAACAGAGTCAGTGGCTGGTGAGAGCTCTCTCTTTGGGCTGCAGACAGCTGCTTTCTCGCTGTGTTCTCACATGGCCATTCCTCATTGTGCATGAGTGGAGAGAAAGAGTGAACTCTGGTCTCTTCCTCTTCTTATAAGGGCACTAATCCCATCATTAGTCATTAGGGGCCCCACCCTGACCTCATCTAAACCTAATTACCTCCCAGAAGCCCCACCTCCAAATACCATCACATCAGGGTGGGGTGGGTCCGGTGCTTAGGGCTTCAACATACGAACTGGGGGGGTGGGGGGGGAGGACACAAACATTCAGTCTATAAAAGCACCTCCCAGACTCAAGGCCTCCAGTCTCAACTTGCTTCTCAGTTTTGCCTAACAGTTCTCTGTGGTCCTGGTTAGCTTTCACTCCTGGTCCCCAGGTGGCCATTTCAGATTGTTTCCATTTCCCCCAAGCCTTCTCTTGCCCCCAGCAGATGACCTCCTCTCCTCCTTCCCTAAGAAAGTAGAAGCAGTCACAGATGAGCTTCACCCCACCCCTCAGTCCCTCGCTTCCTCCCTTCTAGGGCCAACCTCACCTCAGTTCTGATTCCCCTCCCCTCACACCTTCTCATGAACTGTGCTGCATCAGTTGCATCCTCACACTGACTCGTCACACACACAAGGTCTCTCACATCCCCCCTTGACTCCATGCCCCCGTTAGCTGCCACTATCTCTCTCTTCCTCTTTGCAGCCAAACTTCTTAAAAGCCTCATCTGCACTAGCCATGCCCCCTTTGCTCTCTCCCATTCATTCCTCAGCCTGCTGCAGTCCAGCTTTAGCCCCATCCACACCGTGGAAACTGCTCTCCTCAAGGTCATCTACGGCCTCCGTGTTGCTAGGGTCCTTACACTGTCCTCTGTCCAGCATTTGAAAACGTCATCCACTCCCTGCCCTTGAAACACAGCCTTGTGTGTCCTCTGCTCTATCACACTTTCTGGATTTTCTTCCTACCCCTCTGGCTGTCCATTCTAGGCCTTTTAAAATTGTTCTTTCTCTGCTTTGTCCTTAGATGTTGGGGTTCTTCGTTTTCTGTCTTTGGCCAGTTTAGCTCTACTAATTCTACCCACTGGGTAATTGCATCCACCCCCATAACCAAAATTCACATTCTTCAGCTTGTAACTTTCAAAGCTGAGTCTCTAGCACAGCTGCTCTCTCTTTCTCTCTCTCTCTCTCTCTCAAACTTCTGGCTCACATCCAACTACTTCCTGGACATCTCCACAGGATCCCAGACACACCTAGAATCCTAACAAGTGTCTGTGGAATTATCTGTTCTTCTACCTCTGAGTTGGCTGCATATTTGAGCAAATATTGAGCAAATGTTCTTGTCTCCACCCAAGTCATTGCTAAAAATAGCCTTTTTGGTGACAGCACTTAAATCCCGCCTGAGGAACCATTATCTGCCCAACCAGGACTTCTGACCATCTCAAACCCAACAAGGCCCCAAACTGAACTGTCTTTTCCCAAAACGTATTCTGTCTGGCCCCAGTCAGTGGATCTAGACTTACCTGGCTGGCCTCCCCAACCCATTACCAGAGGGAGTCACATGTGCATGTTGGCTCATTTACAATGACCCTCAGCCTCCTTCCTGCCTCAACAGGAGCCAGTGGCTTCCAAGACACCAAAGATCCATGAAGCCAGTCGGTCAGGCATAGTCACCACTGGAACTTGCATCCTTCTTCCTCCCCTGCTCTGGCTCCCTCTTGTCCATGTTCCACTGCCCATGAAGCCGCTGACACTGACAGTGTCCACTGTGGGAACACTAGTGCCCAGTTCAGGGCCTTTCAGAAACCACAATCCCACAGGATGCCCATGCAAGGTGGGCAAGAAAAGCCTCCCCTCCCCCCAGACTCTGTACCAAGCTATCAGTGAGCCCAGAAGTGTCTCTGCTTATGGCCACTGCTCTGGTCCTATTTGCTTCTGGCCTTCACTTCTCTACACCCAGGTCTCCGGTTCAATCCAAGGGGCTGCACTGACACATCATGCCAGCTACACCATCACCATGGTTATCATCATCACCATCACCATCATTATCACCTTCACCATCATTATCATCCTTTCCCTCCTTGCGTCTTCCCCCCAGCCATGCTCCTCCTCCTTCAATAGTGCTAAAACACGGATCTCCATGAATGTCTGCAGATGTGAACAGACAGAGGAGGGGGAAGGGGAACAGAGGACGTTCTTGAGCACTTCTGAGCCCCAGCTGAGCCAGCCACAGCGC